ACAAACTCTGGTGCGCTCGCTCGTGGATAATAGACGACCTCAAACGGTTGTCCATTGGCAGCAAGATTTGCTGCTTCAATAACAGATTCAGCTCTCACTTTCCCCATTTCCCTCAAACCGTTTTCATTCCCTTTCTTAACATTTCCCATAGTCAAATTCCCGTTTTCTCTCAGAAAACCAGAAAATCCCCCATACATAGAAGAGGCAGAGTTTGAATCTCCAGTGTTCCATCCAGAAGACACCTCAGGTCCACCGCCAATACCCCTCTTTGTCCTCCGAATTCCAACACGTAAATCCCCATTTTCTGCCCTATAGAACACAATCGAATCACCGGCAAGGAGCTTCTTCTGATTCACAAAATTACTCCACCCGGTTGTCAAAAGATGTCGCCGGGGTGTCCCTCTATATATATGTCTAAATTTCCAAATCTCCCCATGAACATCCTTAGCAAAAATTGTCTGAACCGGGGGCTCGGCCGAATAATCCAACCTCGGAAATATAGTCTCAGCACAATACCTAGGAACAGAGAATCCCCCACCATTGTTTGCATCAGACTGTGTCAATGTCTTAGCAAATGAATTGGATTTTTCCTTTTCATCACACTTATCAAAACCTAAAAATCCACACTCATCATCACCATCACCTTCATTACCTCTCAATGGGATTAATCTAATTTTCGAGTATACCTCGTCTGTCTCTGCATCAGCTAAGTATTTAATGGATGAAACTCTACACAGAATAAATGGTGAAATTCTTGATAACCCCCATAAATCTACATTTTTATGGGCATGTTCGGAATGTCCTTGAGGAAAATAATAGATTTTGGAATTCATAGGAGGCAACTGAACCATCCCACCAGCACAGGCATGCCATAAATGGGGATCCAAGGATTTCTCCACTTGATTCATTGGTTTGTTCACAGAATGCATAATATTAATCATCTTCGTAAAACTTTGACTGCAAACACATCCAAAGAACAACAATTATTAATCTTCTCTAACAAAATGC